ATAGTACTACCATAGTATAATATATAGTGTTCTGTAGTTGTTTTTGTAACATACTATAGAACACTCCTATAGTAATAGTATGATATTGTCATAATGAATGCATATTATTACTATAGTGTTTGTAAAAGCATTACACTCCTAGAATTAATGTGTCATTTTTTTATATCAAATTAATTGATAGTTCAGGCATTTATCAAACCTGGCAACTCTGGGCTTCCTGGCAGCTGTCAATCAAAGTCCAGTGGCACCGCCCCAAAGTGTGAGTAACTTTTCAGGCGCGCAGACAGACTCCGCGAGCGAGTGAGGCTGACACTCCCGCGAGCGAGCAAGAGGGCTGTCTGCGCGCGAGGGTCATTTCGTGACCGTGAAAAAGCACATTTTCCGCTCGTGAGTAGCTTGTTTTGCGCGCTAGAATATTGACCCAAATCTGACTCCATACAACGTCCCGACCAATCAGAGCACACTGTGCTCACAGGGAGGGTGGGGGCTGGAGCTATTGGAGCTACAACGAGCCGTTAAAGGAGGTCATAAAGGAAGTTTGAAACCTCCTTGCTCCTTTCCTATCATGTAGAGAATTTGAACGGCACTTATCATGGCTGCCACTGAGGGACTTCTGGGTCATTTCACTCGGTTAGGAAGGTTCCTAAGCTAAATGGACTATTCGACTGCAGCCCCGCAGTCTCTTCTCCTAAATCCTTTTGAAGTCTCCTATCCACTATCCCTTAACCCCGTGACGTTTCACACAGAGGTCAAGGGATAGACTATATGGATAGAAGATAGGAGCTGATTTTTGGACTATTCGACCGCAACCTGAGATCTGGTTGGGGGTGAAAAGAGGTGCTAAAGCACAGGCAGTATGAGAAAAATAAAGACCCTTTTGAACATTAGCGCATGGAAACAAGTCCAAAAAACATGATTGTCCATCACAATTACGCTTCTTCCTTTATACGACCGTTTCAGTTGAATACAACTTAAACGGGTCGGTAACACTCCTGTGGTGTCTAGTCCAAATCTCTCTCACTGGAAGCTAATGTTTTTAGCTTGCTGTGCTAGTTACGACGTCGACGAAAAGGGATCTAACCACCAAACTAGAAAGCACAGTGGCACCGATACAGGTGTCCAGTGGGTAGCTAACACTACCTTGAACAGTCCAATATCACTAAACACCTACCTTTATATCAGCTGAATTATGTCCTTTATTATTATAAGCAGCCAACAAGGAGTTAAACCTAAATTTCTAACATGGACATTTTATTGTCGCGCTTCCCTGGATGAAATCTCGCGATAGTTCAAGTAACGCGCAGACGCAGTGAGAGCCTGTTCAAACTACAGTGTTGTTTCATTTAGTGGGAATGCTGTTAACAGCATTCCAACTAATAGTTATTCTACGGACGAAAAGTTTATTATTCCGCCGGTATTTTGGCCCTCTTCTCCTCCCGCATTGAACATCGCAGAAACTCCGTTCAAACATCAAAACGTTCAGCTCTGTCGGGAATCGATGGCTATTACTTTTCTCATTCATAACCTTCATAATTCTATAGATACATCCCATAATACATCAAATTTTTAACATTGAAGTCAATGGAGAAAATCTTCAGACTTCAACAAATCTTCATGCAATTCAACTGCTAACTGTTCATTCATACTTTCACTCAGACACCTCATTCCAACTTTAAAATGTTACACATCTTTCTGACATTATACGTGTAAAACAACTTTTAAATCTGATTCTTACTTTTAGAGATATTTGTCAGAAAGATGTGTAACATTTTAAAGTTGGAATGAGGTGTCTGAGTGANCAGGCCTCTCATCTTTTTGAGTGGGAGAACTTGCACAATTGGTGGCTGACTAAATACTTTTTTGCCCCACTGTAACTCTCTCTGAACACGCCTGGACTTTACTCTAACCATAATGAAAGTTATTTGGAAAGGGTGTGTCAGTGGGTTGAGTGTTAGCTCAAGGTGGGGATTATGCACAAGCAATTCATCACAGAAGGTTTATAGAGACATGATAATTATCTCCGGGAGCACAAGAAACTCTTAAGATTTGTCTAAATCTCTCTCTGTTTGCAAAAGAGATCATCTCCATTTCAACAGGTTTTTTCTCCGAGCACACGTGATTAGACACACACAGCACATGTGAACACACCTATCCTACATCCACAAACCTCTTCATTCAGAGGCTGGAGCTAGCGTGTGGGAACAAGATAAAGAAATGTAAATTCAAATGAAGTTAGAGGAACAGGGTAATCTGATTGTCCTCTGGGGCAGCAAATCAACTTAAAGGTCAGCGAATTTCAATTAGTCTCAGCAGCTCTGGTGTCCCACGTTCACAAACTCAGTACCAGATACCTCAGTCTCTGCTCTGCATATGGCTGTGGTCAGCTCGTCTCAAGAGCCAACTAATTATACTATGGGGACTCTGCTGTCAGCAGATGTTCTGTCTCTTCTTACTTTCCTGCCTGGAATAACTGTTGTTGGAAAAGCCATCAGCTGAGTCACTTCGGCGGATAGGGATATGGATTTGAAAGCTCTTAAATATACCTTCTGGGAATAGTAGGGTCTGAAAAACAGGGGTTATTATTAACATTGGCTTCACAGGAAGAGGATATGAGGTCGCACAGGCCAAGCTTCTGCTGCATAAACACCTCGGAGCCAATGGGATCGCTGCTATCAGCGAGGAGGAAGGAAACAGAGAAGACAAAGAGGATTCGTTGAGAACGTCATATTCACTTTGCCAACGGTCAAAGCTGTTTGTTTTTCTCTCACTTTTGAAACACTTCGAAGTATAAAATGGTATTTGAGGCTCGAGGTAGCGCTGGTAGCACCATAGTGTCTGTGAGGCACCCCCTAGAGAGCAGGAACTATTACAGAGACCCCACATTCCCCCAAGAGCGACAGCAGCAAGTAATAACTCTGACGGGAAGAAACCTCGAACAGAACCAGGCCAGCTGTCCTGTAGCAGCTGAACTGACGCACCTCTCTGCTCTGAGCCAAGATGTCTACCAGTTGTGCATGTCTGTGGCTCCGTAGAGGAGTGCTGGGCCAGAAGACAGCCACCAGGATCACAGAGAGGGGACAGGATGAGGCCAAACCCAGAGAGATTCCAGAGAGACCCGCCTCTGGAATTTGAAACTGAATCTGAACCTCTTTCATTCAGGGCAGCGCCCATCAAAGCACTATCTTTGAATGACATGATTAAACTGCCTCACAGAGACAAAGACGGCTCCAGTTAGTTTCAGGTTTTAGAGAAAGAAAATAACAGAAAAACAACATAATTGTTGTTATAATAATGGCGTGATAGGTATAACATATAGAGGGAATCTATCAGAGAAGCCAGAGGCAGATTTATTCACTATAAAAAAAATCCAAGATATTTTTGTACGCATAACTCAATAAAATGGATCTCATAAAGACAGTTTATGTTGTACAAAACAGAGCAGGGGACATGCATGCACGCATTATGGAAATATCCCATGATTTCTCCCTTGTGGGGAAATGTTATGGGATGTATGGGTGAGTGGATAAAATGTCTACTGCCCAGATCACCAAAGTTATGTCTCTCTGGGGAAACACTTTAGTGCAGCAGTGGGATGGTTTCAAGATAGAGGACTGGTCATTGCAATGAACATGTGATTAATATCAGATTGGTCACGGTGGGGTGAAATAATATATAATTTATCAAAGCAGATCCC